GGAAGTAATTTGCCCAGATAGAAATACAAAGGCAAGAGAATCATTGACGAGAACGGGCCTTTTGTTTGGTTTCCTTGCACTGAAATAGTGGTGTCAGCAATGAATGTGTGTGAAACTTTTTGATTTAAAAAATAAACCCAGATCAAGAGCAAACCTGCTTCTCAGCGGATCTTTGAAGTCCCAAGAGTGGCTTATCTTTGACTCAGTGTGGCTCCAGCTTCAGGAAGCAGAGCTCGGTGCACTAGGAAGCAGTATGTTCCATAGGTTGTCAGGTCTTGCATTCAGGACAAGTTAGGAAAGGCATGGTACCTGCCTGCAGTTTGGGTCTTGGATGCCCATGCCAAGTTCCTTCTGCTTAATCTTTGCTGAGAAATGAAAACTGTGGGGAAGCTGCCTGCAAGTCCACCCTTGGGGAGCCTCAAGAGAGGCCACAGGGAGGCAAGGCAGTTTAGTGGAGAAAAAGGGATGTGATTTAGGAGCCAGAGAGACTGGGGGTCAAATCCTGGCTCTACCTATCAACTGCAATGTGGTTCTGGAGAGATATTTGACTTCCTGAATCTTGTTTCCTAATGGTCCTGAGAGTTTGTTTCAGTAGGTCTGGGGTAGGGTCCAGGAATCTGTATTTTTAACAAGCGCTGCATGTGACTCTGATGCACAGCTTATTTTGGGCATCACTAGAACGCTGGTTTGGGGCTGTTTCCTAGAAACCATATTGCCAAGTGTCAGTAGACCCTGGAGCCAGACTGCCCAGGTTAATTTCAGCTTCATCAATTTGCTAATTGTGTGATCTGAGGCAAGTTACTTAACTGCATGGTCTCAATTTCTCCATCTGTAAATTGGAACTAATAGAACCTATCTCACAGGGGTATTGTGAGGATCAAGTATGCTAACTGTGTGAAAGCATTTAGAATGGAGCCAGATACACAGCAAATACTGTTTCCTACTATTATTCTAGGGTTGCAGTCCTTAACAACATTCAAAAAAATCTAAAAATCCAAAGTTTTCTTCTGAAGTTTGGCACAAATTCATTTGGCAGCACAACCTGTCTGAAATGATGGGAGGTTATTGATAATCTTTATCCCTTAGACTGTGAATAGCCATACATTTCACTGCAGAAATATTAACACGTTTGATTATGGAATGCTGCTCCACACTTTCCGAGTAGGTTTTAGATAATATACAGTATGTTCATATAGTACTTAAAAATTTGAAAAATTTTCAATTTCAAAACTCAGGAGTTTCAGAGAAGAGGCAGCCAGACAATGTGAAAACTCGCCATCTGGTGGCTGCACTAAGAACTACATCACAGGACAGCAAGATGAAGGGGAAAGGCCTCAGGCCAGGGTCAGAGATAAGGACACTCTGATCCACAGTCCAGAACAATTTTTTGGAGAACATTTAAAAATGTCTTCAAGGGCTGCTTCTGTGGACAGAGAAGGCGTTGCTTCAGTTTAAAAATTCATTATGCAATTTATTAAAGTAAAAAATTGAAAACATTACTTAAGCTTTTGAAAGCTCAGCTTACAGATATTATGGTTGTATTTATAAATGTAGCAAATGTTCATCATTTTAATGGAATTTTAAAG